ACCTAGCAATATTTGAATTATATCTGATAGTTGGGCTAGGCTAGGACCTTGTGGGTGTGATAGAGTGGATTTCATTTCTTGTCTTTTCCATTGTGAGTGTGAGAGAGTGGGTTTCATTTCCTGTCTTTTCCATTGTTGGTGTGAGAGAGTGAATTTCATTTCCTGTCTTTTCCATTGTGAGTGTGAGAGAGTGAATTTCATTTCCTGTCTTTTCCATTGTGGGTGTGAAAGAGTGGATTTCATTTCCTGTCTTTTCCATTGTGGGTGTGAAAGAGTGGATTTCATTTCCTGTCTTTTCCATTGTGGGTGTGAAAGAGTGGATTTCATTTCCTGCCTTTTCCTTTATGAGTGTGAGAGAGTGAATTTCATTTCCTGTCTTTTCCATAGCTCACAACATCCTAACCAGTCATTTGCTGAATCAGCCTACTATTTGGGAACATATTCACCCCTGACATATGGACCCCACAATCCTTAGCTGAGGTAGGACATCTCTAATGCAATAGGAGATTATTACCCCATACTTTTTATTTTAAATTATACTTTTCTACTTTCATGACTTTTATTTTTATTTGTTATTTGCACAATCATGTTTCTATATGGTCTAGAATATAACTTTCACACAGACATAGTAAGTTGGTTAACTTTACCTATCTATACATGTAAATACTTCTTGCTATGTTCAATTGTAAAGCAAAATCTCAAACAATAATACTACCTACTGAGCGATTTGTAAATTAGATTTACTTTCTCTGCATATTGAGTTTCATGCTGTAACTAAAATGATCCGTCTTGTAAGCTTGCACGTGTATCCATACCATATATATTAGAAGAACAAGGTGACAACTACAAGTGACATTTGCATGTTTCACAAAATAAAAAGCAAGCAAACTGCATTTTAGCCTTCACATTAGTAAGACTTTTACAAGATTATTATTGAAAGGGTCGTTTTAGTTGCTTTGCAACAAAAAGTTTGTACTTCAAGTTAAATTCATGATATTTACACGCATCAGGTTTCTAGTGGTAGTTTTCTCCAAGACTGTTTTTTTCCTGAACAAGTTGGTTTAGATCAGCAGTTCCCAACCACTGGTCCACAAATATGGTTGTTTCTTTACAGAAGTGTTCAGTGGAAGGAGTGGAGAAGAGGGGAAAAAATTATAATTATTTCTGAATCCCTAATCTAAACACATCTTTATGGTAAGAGTACAAAAATTTATCACTTGAGACTCATTACACATCATTCTCAAAAGTGATACATTTTCAATGGCATCACATTATCTACTAAATGCGAAACATGCCAATAATTAGTTCTGATACATTCTGTTCTACATTGACTTGATATAGACTAACTGTTACGTGACTTGCTGAACTGAACTTGCAATTTGACATATAATATTTTAAAGTAATGCAGACTGTCATAAGTTGTTTATTCTTTTAACACAAAGGGTACACTTCTATTAAGCTGTATCATTCTTTCCAAAACTTCACTAAATTAAAACTTACATTGACACTGTTGGTGCATCTGTGGGTTGTAAGCATACTGAGGGTTACCAGCTGTCAAAAATACATGCTGATGAGCATTTGGCATGGAATACTGGGGAGCTGCATACTGTTGAGGTCGATGATGATACTTTAGTGAAGAAAAAAAAACCACTTATCACTAAATATGATTAAATCATATAATCATCATAAAGCAAATAGCTAAACATAATTATTCAACATTACAAAAACATTCAACTTAAATAACACTGTGTGCACCTTTAATGCCCACCCCCTTAATACACTACAAGAATAATAAAAGTGATAAATGTTTAAAATTTGATTTTAGTTGTTTAAGCAAAAGGCCACACAATGGACTATTTGTTCTGTATCCACTGCAGGAATCAAACTACATTTTTTATTATAAATATGTTATCCTGTCTCTAGATCATATTCAAGTTTGTCTCTATCACAGTCTTGTTCTACCTCTAAACCCATCCTTGTGTCCATGTCCACTATTGACCTGCAGATAACCTCTACACCTTTTGACATACTTCATACAGTTGGTGCCACACCAGTTTTGAGAAAACCTCTTATTTCAGTATGGCTACCATTTGTCACAATTCTAAAAAAAAGGATTAGTTCCCATTCTGACAAAACACAAGTCATAATAAACTCAAATTTCACGAGGAGATAAAACTTGTAATAATTCAAAATGTTTTGTTTCAAAATTGTATTTGTATTTATTCTTCCTTATGTGAAATGGACATTTTCAAACTGTTAGTACATCACGAGGTTTGTTATTAATGGTTTTGTATTGTTGGCGCAATGATGTGTTTTGTCTGTGCTATTTCCCCTTTCACAAACTATAAATGATTGGTGTCACTCTTAGGAGTCAAATTACTGTAGGAGATTTTTTTTGTATGCAGAATCCAAAGCAAATAAAGTACTTGAGCACAATAATCACGCGTGGAGACCCACTAAGTCAATCCATTACCTTTCCATAGCATGTACATTACTTTCTTAGACTCCTACTTGAAACAGTTGTATAGAACAAAGATAAGTTTTATGTACAAGATACAATGACATACGTACTGTACATATATTTATATTAGTTTAATGCTTTAGAACATATTTTATTGCATCATTTCTTTTAACAAATGAGCCAATGCATGATGTACTGCACCTAACTTTTTCATATGATGAGGCCTATGCTAATATTTTGCATGTGTTATAATAAAATAAACACATTTCAGTATTATATTTACTTCTAATAATGAATAAAGTTGAACAAGTACATATCTAAATGCTGAGGAAACTTGTACAGGATAAATTTAAAACTTAGATCAAATAAAAACATTGTTGGGAGGGCTGAAAAACTAACCATTTTATAACTATTAAATAATACATCTTTACTCAGATTTATTCTGATCATTTCCTGTACATGTTCGTACAGCTGCTTTGTGCACAACTACCAACATCCTTGTCAACTATATGTACAAAAACCATAAAGTCACACTGATAATTGTTCTTAGAGGTTTATATTTACTTGGCTCTGTTGGAGTGTCATGTCCTCCTGGAATGGTGTTTTACTTAGTCAAGGGTTAGGAATGACTGTTGATGAAAGTAATCAATGGTTTGTGAAATAATCACTAGGGTTGTAATATCCTCATGAATTCAGAGATTGTTTATGTCCTGTCCAAGCAGCCAGCCACAGTCAAATAAAGAACTTAACAATGACTGTCAATAAACTATTTTTGTTCAATTTGTTTGAATCTTTTGCCATACTTAGCATTAACCTTTATATAACATTTCCAGTACTTACTGTGTTATAAATACTTAAAGTAACATCAGTAAATCAAAAAACTGAAATATTAGTACAATTTAATATATCTGGTAAAAAAAAATATTTCAGATAGCCCAGAAACATGTGGCTATTCAAGCTAATGGAACTTTTAACAGTAAGGTTCAAAGCTGTTAACCATAATATACTGCTCTGAATTTTATGTAAAGAGATGCACCAGTCCAAGTTGAACAAAACTTTCTGAAACCATACATGGCAGTATTAATTATGGTTTAGGAAATGAAACAAAACAACAAAAGTGATTACTAAAAATCAATTTCATTTAATTGTTATCCTTTGGTCATTTTTTTTCAGTTAATTTCTTTTAACTATTTGGAACTAGTTCAACATCATCATACGACTTTATAAAAATATTCAGGCTGCCATGGAAAATATTTTGGTTTCAGTCACGATTTTTGTTAAAATTCTCCATGTATGTTGGTTTCAGTCATGATGTTTGTTTATATTCTCCATGTATGTTGGTTTCAGTCACGATGTTTTTATATTCTCCATGTATGTTTGTTTCAGTCATGATGTTTTTATATTCTCCATGTATTTGGTTTCAGTCACGACTTTTGTTTATATTCTTCATGTATTTTGGGTTCAGTTACGATTTTTGTTTATATTCTCCATGTATGTTGGTTTCAGTCATGATGTTTTGTTTATATTCTCCATGTATGTTGGTTTCAGTCATGATGTTTTGTTTATATTCTCCATGTATTTTGGTTTCAGTCATGATGTTTTGTTTATATTCTCCATGTATTTTGGTTTCAGTCACGACTTTTGTTTATATTCTCCATGTATTTTGGTTTCAGTCACGACTTTTGTTTATATTTTCCATGTATTTTGGTTTCAGTCACGACTTTTGTTTATATTTTCCATGTATTTTGGTTTCATTCACGATTTTTGTTTATATTCTCCATGTATTTTGGTTTCAGTCACGATTTTTGTTTATATTTGTTACTTGGTTTTTATGATAATATGGAGAATATAAAAAAAATCACGACTCTTGAAACCAAAATACATGGCGAATATAAAAAAAATATCATGACTCTTGAAACCAAAATACATGGAGAAAATCATAACAGTAATGAAGTATAATACACACAAGGATCACGATACTTTAAAGAATGTCAACCCACTAAAGCCATCAAAATCAGTAATGGTATGGATAGAAAACCCTACTCAGTGTTTTTACGAACATGAACATATCAACTGTTTGTATTGCATTGTGACTTAATAAAACCAGGTCAGAATCTTTCAGTGAGAGGTTGAAGAAAAGCAAAGTCTTGAAATTCCCAATACATAAAGTAGCACTAAATTACAGGATAATAGGGATGATAGCAAATGTAACTTAGAAAACAACAAATAACTTAAGACCCACTTTCCCAAAACAATAGTTGACATGTGCTAAATACAGTCTGCAGAGTACAATGGAAGTAATCTGTTTGCTGTTTAGCACAAAGCTGACTACAGCTATTAAAACCAGATGTTTAGCATTACAAGCCCTCAGATTACTGCCGAGTCACAAGTAGGTGGAAGTAATTGAACTGGTTAGTCTGTGTTAATACTCAGGCAGAATCCAGATTTTTAGCATTATAAGCCCTCAGATTACTACCACAGGTGGGTGGAAGTAACAGGAATGAACTGATTGGTCTGTGTTAATGCTCAGGAAGAATCCAGCTTTTTATTATTATAAGCCCTCAGATTACTACCACAGGTGGGTGGAAGTAACAGGAATGAACTGATTGGTCTGTGTTAATGTTCAGGCAGAATCCAGATTTTTAGCATTATAAGCCCTCAGATTACTGTTGAACCACAGGTGGGTGGATGTAATAGAATTGAACTGGTTGGTGTTAACACTACAACAGAAGATGAAGTTCACTGGAAGAAGTAATACAGTATAATCATATTTTAAGAAAAACTGGCAATGTTTTATGCTATACAAGTCTAAAAACATTTATACTTAAGACAAAGGTAATTATTATGTGATGTAAGATACTTTTTTATTATTATTATTATTATTATTATACATCATGAACATTAGAACAATAAACTCTTTAGAACATTACACAGAATTGTTATTCTAAATACATTTGTTCATTACTTAAGGAAAAAACTACAATATGATCAGTGAAAATTAAGGATTACTCATCTTTTGCTGATTCTACAGAGAAGAATACATAAAAAAACAAAAAAAAAACAGTTATGTGCAAGGTGTCAGTAGAACCTTTCCAAGATAGAGAATAAATAATATAAAGCAACATACAAATAAACAATCGTTAATAACTACTTACAGAAACAGCTGGTACTGGACTCTGCATCAGTAGTTGTTGATGAGCCATGGGGGATCCAAAGTTCGGATTTCCAGAATAAATAACTCCCATTTGTGTATGGTTCAGTGCTGGTGGGTTTGTGTTCATCGTAGTCATGTTTTGTCGAGGCATGGTGTGTACAGGAATCGATGCACTCTGCCGTGAGGATGGATGGTAGAATGCCTGGAAAAAATACGTTAAAATATAAAACTATTATTTGTGCAAACTAATTTAACCTGATTGTTCATTTGACAGCTTTCAATTCAAGGTCAGTCTCGGAATGGCTCCAACTGCTCCAGACATTTTATAAATTGGCCAAACTATTACTCCTCAACAAGTTACCTGGTTGCACAATACTAGAAGAACAAAACTTCATTACCATCAAACTTGTCTTCATCATGACCTGGAATTATTAGTTAAGCTATGGCCAGGTGTTTATGGGAATGTCTCAGTTAAAACATCACTAATTCCAGACACCAACAAGGAACCAGCTGCAATGTGAAGTCACCAACACAATATAAAAAACATTTTCAAGGGCTTCCTAATTCATCCAAGTATTGTAACACAAACACCACCATACTAATACCTCATACTTCAAATACTATCCAGTTGTTAACTGTCATGATAATTATATTTTGAATATACAACTTAACATATGACTAAATTTCAAATGCTGTTCTCTCATTAAGTTTTTTAAGGTTAAATACATAAAACAAAAGTCAAGCAAAAATGCAGAAAAAAACATCCAATGTTCAGTTTTTTTTTTTATCAAAATGAAAATTTTGGAAGCCCTGTAGAATACAATTTTGATAGTTATGGGATGTATGTGTTTTAAGAATATATTTATAAATCAGTAAATCATAATGGCTTTCACAACACTACCTCCAAAACCTGCAGAGAAAAGTGTTTATCTTTTTTTTCTCTTTAACTCAAAAACTATGGCAAAACATGTATAGCTAATGCTATGGCTTCTAACAACAACTCACTTTCAAAAAACAAAGTGTTGTAGTTATATGAATAGAAACAAATCCAAAAATTTTATTCCATACATGTTGTTGCCGTCGTCATATATCATCAGAATTAACTAAAATATGCAAAGCACTTTGATTACAAAATATGCAATTATTTAGGGGATCCTATTAAGAAAATAATGCATAATGTGATAAAAGTGGCTTACTGTCAAATTAAAGAAATTGTTTTCAACTTGCGTTAACGGCATAAACGAAAATTTTTTTTAAAAGGATCCAAAGAGATAGAAATATCAAAACAATTGAGTGATATATTCCAATGAGAAGGAAAGAACTATTATACAAAACAGTTCTACTCAAATTTAATACACAATTTATATCTGTTTCAGTAAAAGTAATTTAAAAATAAAAATCTCCATTAGTTAAAGAAACTTAACCATTAAACTTAAAGCATTACATGTTTTAAAATAAATTACTCGACTGATTGTGAAATTGTGCTTTCTGTATAACCTAACAAGAATATTCACTTGCCGTAAATCCAGCTTGAGGTCTTGGAATCTGCTGGCCCTGATGTTGGGGTAATACTCCTGTTCCATTAACAGCTGAAGTGGGCATGCCTGGTTGAGGCAATTGAGGGTGGTATGAAAGTGCTGCAGATGGAACACCCTGCGTGGGTAGAGGTCCAGGCTTACTCATGTCATGAGGGTTACCACTTGAAACGGATGTATGTCCGGGTATGTGCTGTCGGAATGCCTGGTGCTACAGAAAAAAGAATGAAATAGTTAAAGATACTGAGGTGAATTTCTTAAAATAAACACTTCACCTGTTCCTGTGTAATAGTCTCAAAAAAGAAAAAGGTGGTGCCAAATACTCATTTCTTGTAATCTATGAAATTATTTGAAATTTAAAGTACATATAGAATCACTACACCAGACATTTTATTATCAGAAACCATGCAGTTTTCTTCATTACAACTGAGACAAAGATAGCAAGTTGTATAGGAATAGTTTTATGATAAAAATGTCTGTACAAAAACTCATTTAGACCTTAATTTAGCCCTGGACAAAACCTTGGTAAGTATCCAACAAAGAATATTTCTTTCCAGTAAACAAACAGTCTTGTTCTTTGTTTCTTCAATGTACTCTAAACCATAAACCGAGTTCATCTCCTTTGATTTATTTAAAGAACTGAAAAACCTTAACTAAAGTAAGTTCTGTTGTTTAATGATGAAAACAGGTTCGAACCTTGTTAATATAAACAACACTACCAGAAGATGGGTTCGAACCTTGTTAATATAAACACTACCAAGATCTATGCTCACACATGTACTTCTTAAGTCCAAGCGAGTTTCATTCTGTATGGAAGCATTAGCTTTTGCAAGATATATGCATCTCAGTAGAATATATAAATACCCACTACATCTTAGACAATCTGTGGCAAGTAAATTACAAATCTTAAATGCCACCCCCCCCCCCATACCTCTCATTTAAAATCCCTAACAAATTTGAAAGATTGTACAAAAAAAAAGCATACGTAACTTATCACTTTTAACAGACTTATTTAACATTATGAGAAATGTCTAAATGGTTATAACATACCTAAAAATTAATGTAAATATTAAGGTAATACAAGCATTGTTTTATTCATAATCACACAACTTTACCAACTACCATGAGGGATGGACTAGAATGTTACCACTTAAAAATTATTAGATTCTCTTTTGCATATCAAGATTTAACTCAAATAACAGGGTGCTACACAGAATCACTGGATTTCCTCTTATGCATAACCAACTTTCAACTCTGGTAATCAGGTGCTAGAGGCAGCTACTGTTTATATACTAACCCTGATAATGGACCAAAAACTGCCTAGAGAGGTCGCCTGTTTTAACCACTCACACCACTATACAGTAGTGTGTTTCCTTTAAGTCAATCAGTACATACTAAAATGACAACACATAAGGGATGCTTAATGTTGTAATTTGTACTGTTACGATGTCAGTAAAACATGAGCATACCATGAATCACGAGAAGAATTGTGCACTCTGTAGACTACAACACAGAATGACATATGAACTTCAAAAGCAAGAAATAAAAATATTTGTTACTCTTAATTTTGGTTTTATTTACTCTTGAAACAGAACACTTTTGGGGACCCTGAAAAGTACATCCAGTATACTAACCCGGATACGTTTCACAATTAGTTCTTCTTACTAACCTTCACATTTGTCTTGTTGCCCCGTGCTAACTTCTTAGTTTGCACATAATTTTTCAACTGCCCTTACCATCTCTTATTCCAGAAGTTTCCAAAGTTTGAAAGACTTTTCTTTTATATTTATAAGACTTCAATTATATTTCAAAGTTCCACAAAACAAGCCAGATTTTTCTACTGCCCCTTCTTATTTCATATTCCAGATGTTTCTATTCCATAACCATTCTTCCTACTGACCCTCCCCCCCAAATGCCAAAAATTCTCATCCAGTCAGCCGGACTTCTTACTACCCTTCACCTCCTACCTGAATGTTTTTTTGTCACACTAGCACACTCCAGTATTTCAGAACTTGGAATAATACAATATGGTAATAAGCAGTTAAACAACAATTTAATTATTGTTTTTTTTCTAAAAAGCTGTACTGACTGATTGTTGCAGAATAAATTAAATCTAACCAAACATTTCTTTTATATGTTTATTGTTCATAAAGTGAGAAACATAACAAGATGAAAAAAAAAAGAAGAAACGGGAACCTCTTCCACTCAGAAAAGCTCTTCATGAACTTCCTAGAAAAAATTCACAATAATCACCTCAAGCATTAAAAAGCTATATGATAAAATAAGAAACTAATCTTTTAGACTAGCCGATAGAGGATAACTAGTCAAGCATTAGAGAAATTACACATTAAGTAAAAAACTTGCGTATGGCCCAAACAATAATAGCTGTATGTGCCCAATTTAAGCCATATCCATTATCAGTATTTCAGTACACAAACTTCACAAAAGTCAGTAGCCTGTACTGTAGTCCACAATATGCATATAGTATAAAGACTAGTAAAAGTAATGCTCTGAAGCTGATCAAAATAGGTAAACATAAGGTAACAAACTCTACTAATACTTTCAAGCTAAACCTTACATATAAAGAATTCTAAGCTTGTAAAGATCCTTTGATTTTTTTTTCAAATATAAAATAGTAATCAACCTGTGAAATAACATTATCTAAATATTAGTCATTACATCAATGAGATTTTTTACAGAAGTAAAGAATGTCTATTTCAGTATTGCCATATGGCAGCATACAAGTAGTAGTACTCTGCTTATTTCAGCATTTGAAATATTTAAGTATCATTGCAAATACTGAGTGATAACACTCAAATTATGGTTAAATCTTTTAAAGTTAAATCATTCAACTTAATCACAATACTGTCATTTATCATAAGTTTTAACAAAAAACAGAAGCTCAAATGGGTTCAAATTTGGGCTCATGAAATGACAGTTTATGTGCCTGCTTTGTTGAAAGTAGTCTACATTTGTTAAACAAGGTGATGACATGAAATGACAGTTTATGTGCCTGCTTTGTTGAAAGTAGTCTACATTTGTTAAACAAGGTGATGACATGAAATGACAGTTTATGTGCCTGCTTTGTTGAAAGTAGTCTACATTTGTTAAATAATGTGATGACATGAAATGACAGTTTATGTGCCTGCTTTGTTGAAAGTAGTCTACGTTTGTTAAATAAGGTGATGAAAGCAACTCGTGTAATTAAAGATGAAGCCATACTTCTCTGCTCAACCTATATAAGTAGCTTAATTTTTACTACACAATTTCTAGTAGTTACTTACTACTTTCTTTCAATATTGAAAATATAAAAAAATTTATAACAATTTTTATGAACACACCCACTCATATTTAGTTTTTTTTTGTATTTTAGTTTGTATTTTGTAACTCAAAACTGTCAAAATAATAGTTATTTAGGAATATTAATGGAAAGCTGTAATTTTTTGTTAACAAGATAAAACTTTCTTTTATAATATAAAACACCATCAAATAATTAAAAACCTTCATTTTCACATTAACAGACACGCAGTTTCTTAAGATCTAGTGCAAAACTTTCTTCCTCTGTCAAAGTTTTGTTGGTAATTTTAAAGAAATCTTAGGCAACCAGAATGTCAATGAATGAGAATCCTCTAGTGAAAATACCTATTTGTCATGAATAATGAGTTTGCTGACTAACCAAGTTGAAACTGTTATTTTGATGGTTTCAGTTGTTTTTTTTCTAGGTGATTAATACACGATTGAGCCAGTGTTACTTTACATTTCAGATTCTCTTTGCCTTTATTGTTCCATTTACGCTTTAATAATTTCATACTACCATTTGTACAATATAGTATTCTCAGTCAACTTACAAATAAAGGGCAGTTCAGTGACTTGACTACATAAACATATTAGAATTTATAAAACTCTTTCGAGGGATGCAAATTTCAAAATCAATAATGATAATAAGAACAACCTGCTATTAGTCATCACAGCAATGAGATTTTTTACAGAAGTAAATAATGACTATTTCAGTATTGCCATATTTCAACATACAACAAATAGTATTCTGCTTATTTCAGCATTTGAAATTTTTAAATATCATTGCAAATACTAAGTGATGACACTAAATTATGGTCGAACAAGGACAGAGTACCATATTTATTAAAAAACATCCAAAAATGACATAACCTAAACATGAATAATGGCTGGAGACGGCTTGAATGGGTAATGAAGAAAAACTTTAATATAACAGCAAATGTACAATGTTTCGACAGGGTTTTGTCATCATCAGGTACATCATTTGTACCTGATAATGACAAAACCTTAGTTGAAATAGTTGTACATTTGCTGTTATATTAAAAGTTTTTCTTGCTGTACCGTACATACGCCTGTCGTACAGCAGGAGAAATAACAAGTTAAAATAATAAAGTTTTAAC